TATTTCAGTAATGCCCCCAGACAAAGGTGCACTGGCACAATAACTAGGTGTTAAAAGTCCATCACTGCTGGGATGACATGGGATTTTTCAGTGTATTTCGTGTGCCTCAGTTTCCCCCAATGTGCTGCATCATTAATGGGGGGGGAGGGTGTATTTTTGGCAGAAGAATCCAGAGATCCAGGTGGGGCCTGGGCCCAGACAATGGGCCGGCGATTTGCACCACCCTGACCCTCTGCGGGAAGCCAGCTGGAGAACACAGAGAGTGTGGAGGAGACCAGACTGAGGCGGGCCTGGGGGCGGGGGCTGCTGGAGAGACGCATCTGGACTGGGGAGAAGAGGGGGGGCTCTGCAGGGGGCACTCAGACGGGCTTTGATGTGACCTGTCCGTTCGTCCAGGCACCCCCTGTGGTCCCCCCCCGGCTGAGAAGCACGGCACTCTCCAGAGGTCGGGGGGGGCACACGTCTCCCCCCGGCGTTGGGGCCGAGGGGACTCGCTGCAGGAGGCAGTGGGGCTGAAGGCTCCAAGGTGCTGGGAAAGCCCAGGGGTTACCCCAGCGAGGGGGGGACACTGAGGGGTCCCCCCAGGGTCCGGTACAGAACCTCAGAAAGCAGCGGCCCCGGGCCCCTGCCCCAGCTGTGGACAGACCCCCCAGGGCAGAGACCCCTCCAGCACCAGGTCAAAGCGTTGGGGGGACGGACACGCCCACGGGCGACTGAGCGGAGCCAGCGCCGGGTGCTGGGGCCGCCCGTAGCGACGCACGGCTCGGCGACCGGGGAGCGGCGCAGGGCCCCCCCCGCACTCACCAGGCCCTGGTTGATGAAATACTCAGCGAAGTAGACGAGTGCCAGGGGCAGCAGGTATTTCAGGAGACCCTGCGGGGAGAGGGGGGGAGAGGTGCACAAGCAGCCAGATGGGTGCGCTGCAGGGGGAGCCCCCCCCACCCCTGGACGCCTGGGTCCCTCTCCCCACCCCGGTCTCTGGGAGAGCTGTGGGGAGCCCTCCCCAGACGCCTGGGTCCCTCTCCCCGCTCCGGTCTCTGGGAGAGCTGCAAAAGGAGCCCCCCACCCCCACACGCCTGGGTCCCTCTCCCCGCCCCGGTCTCTGGGAGAGCTGTGGGGGTCCCTCCCCGGACGCCTGGGTCCCACTCCCCACCCCGGTCTCTGGGAGAGCTGCAGAGGGATTCCCCTCCCCGGACGCCTGGGTCCCTCTCCCCACCCCAGTCTCTGGGAGAGCTGCGGGGGGCCCTCCCTGGACGCCTGGGTCCCTCTCCCCAGCCCCGGTCTCTGGGAGAGCTGCGGGGGGCCCTCCCCGGACGCCTGG